AGGTCGCCTAAATCCCGGGTTGGGTGTCGCCTGCTTGTTCTCCGCGTTCTTGGCCCCTTCCAAATGTCCCCTGGTGACAGAAGGCTGAAACAAGACTTAGGTGGTGGGAAAACATCTACCTTGAGGTCCGTGGCCCAAGGCAGGGGGACGCTTCTGTCAGAGCACGTCAGAGACGCTAAGTTTCGCTCACCTCTGTCCTCGGCTTTGATCTGCCGCGAGCTCCCAGCGACCACGTTCTTAGAATGAGTGTGTAATTGTAACACTCACAGCTCCCAGCGACCACGTTCTTAGAATGAGTGTGTAATTGTAACACTCACAGCTCCCAGCGACCACGTTCTTAGAATGACTGTGTAATTGGTGCACACACTGCTCCCAGAGACCACGTTCTTAGAATGAGTGTGTAATTGGCGCACTCAGAGGTCCCAGCGACCACGTTCTTAGAATGACTGTGTAATTGGCGCACTCAGAGGTCCCAGCGACCACGTTCTTAGAATGAGTGTGTAATTGGTGCACACACAGCTCCCAGAGACCACGTTCTTAGAATGAGTGTGTAATTGGTGCACACACTGCTCCCAGCGACCATGTTCTTAGAATGAGTGTGTAATTGGTGCACACACTGCTCCCAGTGACCACGTTCTTAGAATGAGTGTGTAATTGGTGCACACACAGCTCCCAGAGACCACGTTCTTAGAATGAGTGTGTAATTGGCGCACTCAGAGGTCCCAGCGACCATGTTCTTAGAATGACTGTGTAATTGGCGCACGTGCGTGTACACACACACACACACACACACACACACACACGTCTAGTTAGTAGCTACCGGATTCCAGGGCTGTTTCTGAAGTGCATTTTGAAAAATCCCCATTTTAATGCCATAGAATGAAACCATTTACTTCCCACCCACATGTGTTCCTGCAGGCGTCCTCCCACACTCACGCTGCCTCCTCTTGGGCCCCCACACCCCCCTTTTCTTCAATGAGAAGGAGGGGTCCCAAGGGCTTAGAAAGGCCTGTGCTGACAGGCACTGCACTGTTGTGGGCAGTTCTGGCCTCTGCCTCCTCAGGAGCCTCTGTGAGTGGCCCTGGGGACCCCCCTTCCCGCACGGCCTCCCCTGCCAGCCCTCGTCCTGCTGCCCCGCCCCCTCCGTAACCCGTCGCCTCCGCTGCAGAGCTCTCCTCCGAGCTGCCCTCAGAGAGGGGGCGGCGAGGTTGGCAGATGAAGACGTTGGCCTTTCCCTCGGAGCCCGGGGCTCGGGTCCCATGGGTGCTCATGAGTCGCTTGAAGCCGCCTCCTTGGGAATCACAAGCTGGAAGTTGCAGTCACAGGAAAGGAAAGTATTTCCCAAGCTCCTGGCTTTCATGAACAAACCAAACCTCTTTTCTTACGGAGCCTTTTATTTTTTTTTTAAATTGTTTTATTGCTTAAAGTCTTACAAAGGGTATTACATATGTCTCCTTTTTCCCCCTGCCCTTGACAATCCCCTGGCCTCCCCTACCCGCCAGTGTCTTGTGTCCATTGGTTATGCTTATATGCATGCATACAAGTCCTTTGGTTGATCTCTTACCCCGCCCCCTCCTGCCCCCCAACCCTCCCCGGTCTTCCCGCTGCAGTTTGACAGTCTGTTCGAGGCAGCTCTGCCTCTGTATCTATTTTTGTTCATAAGTTTATAATGGTCTCTATTATCCATGAGTGAATGAGATCATGTGGTATTTTTCCTTCATTGACTGGCTTATTTCACTTAGCATAATGCTCTCCAGTTCCATCCATGCCGTTGCAAATGGTAAGAGTTCCTTCTTTTTTACAGCAGCATAGTATTCCATCGTGTAGATGTACCACAGTTTTCTAATCCATTCATCTACTGATGGGCACTTAGGCTGTTTCTTACGGAGCCTTTTAATTCCCATGGGCTCTCCCATTAAAGGAGCTGAGGCGTTGAGGAGGGTTCAGGCAGCTGTTAAACAAGCCACAGCCACGCCCGGCAGCCAGGGGCGCCTGCAAATTAGACCCTCTCTGGGCCACAAGGGTTAAAGCCAAATAACCTTTAAAATTTTTTAAATTGATTTTAGAGAGAGAGAGGGAGGGGAGAGAGAGAGAGAGAGAGAGAGAGAGAGAGAGAGAGAGAGAGGAGTTGTTGCACGTATTCATGCATTCATCGGTTGCCTTGTGGTGCCCTGCCCGGGGACTGAACCGCAGCCTGGGCGTATCGGGACGACAAGCGAACCGGCTGAGCCACCCGGGCAGCCTTTTCCCTTGGCATTTCCGTCCTGGAGGCGACTAGTGAGTGCGGCCCGAGGTAGAGGGACCGACGCCCTGATTCTTTCACGCCGTCTTAGGTCTCTGACATCTTCGCTCTCCCTGGGATTTTCAGAACTTAAAGGAAACTTAAAAGTCATCCTTACTCTTTTTAAAAAAATATGTTTTTATTGATTTGAGAGAGGCGGGGGGACCGGGAGAGGGAGAGAGAGACATCAATGTTGAGCATTGACCTATGGAGGTCACCCGTTCAATTCCAGGTCAGGGCACAGGCCCAGGTTGCAGACTCGATCCCCAGTGGGGGGCGTGCAGGAGGCAGCTGATCGATGATTCTTTCTTATCATCGATGTTTCTAACTCCCTCTCCCTTCCTCTCTGAAATCAATAAGACTATGTTGAAAAAATAATTTAAAAAAATAAAAAGTGAAGCAAGGGGACTACCTGTTGACATGTGGCTGAGAACGGGTCTGAAACTAGTTGGGGAAGGAGTTCCCCCGTCATTCTCCACAGCGCAGCGCCCGGCGAGGCTCCCCAGCACCCCAGGACCACGCGGCCCTCGGACCGCTGCCTGACGCCACGCCGGGCCTTCCTCCTGCTCGGTGGGAATATGCATGCGACTTAAGTTGTCCCTGGATTGAAAAACAGACCTAGTATTTTATAGCATTTCTAGAAATGTGTAGTGAAACCCAACCAGAAGTCATGAACTAATTCCATCCAGAGCGATCCTGCCACAACTCACAGATGTTCCCTAAAAGATGGCGCTGCCTCGCTTTCCACAGGAAATGCCATTTCACTGTCCTCTGGGGCTGGGTTGTCCTAAGTGACATCGTCACACACACAGGATGGTGTGGGGCGTGAGCAGAGGCAGCCTGCGGGTCGGCGGGGAGCCTGTGGGTCTTGGCGGGGCGCCGGCGGGGGCCGGGCGCTGTCTGCCCCGCGCTGCTCACACTCTGACGACTGCTTACAGGTTGGGAACGGCCACCTCTGATGTCAGACGTGAGCGGACTCAGACCTGAGCGTCAAGGGCAGGTTCCGAAGGGAAGGCTCAGCTGCGCGGGTTTTTTTGGTTTTTTTTTTTTTTGTGTGTTTTTTTTTTTTAAATATATTTTATTGATTTTTTACAGAGAGGAAGGGAGAGAGATAGAGAGTTAGAAACGTCGATGAGAGAGAAACATCGACCAGCTGCCTCCTGCACATCCCCTACTGGGGATGTGCCCGCAACCCAGGTACATGCCCTTGACCAGAATCGAACCTGGGACCTTTCAGTCCGCAGGCCGACGCTCTATCCACTGAGCCAAACCGGTTTCGGCAGCTGCGCGGGTTTTTTAAATAGTCTCACCAGTTGGGCAAGTTTCCAGGTGTTTTAGCTCCAGTTGCTCTGTAGCTTTTTTTAAACATATAAATATATATATATTGCTCGACTTCAGAGAGGAAGGGAGAGGGAGAGAGAGAAACATCGATGATGAGAGAGAATCATGGATCGGCTGCCTCCTGCTGGGGATCGAGCCACAACCCGGGCCTGTGCCCTGAGCAGAATCGAACTGTGACCCCCTCGTTCATAGGTCGACGCTCAACCATGGAGCCAGGCCGGCCGGGCACCTCCACCAGGTCTTTAGGGCAGGCCCCGGGGGTTTAGGAGGGAATGGCCAGGGGGCGTGTGGCCTGTGCCGCGGGGCTTGTCAGCTGGTCCAGGGTTGGGGCTCTGACGGGAAGGGGTCAGTCCCGTGCCCCTTCACTTTCCCGTTACCCCAGAGCCGGGCTCTGACCGGCTTGTTGGCTTATCTCCCACGAACACTGACCTTCTGAGTTGTGTGTTCTGGCGTCAGATAGATCGCTTCTGTGAAGTCCACGGGCGGGACCACCGGGCAGGGCTGTAACCGGCGGCTGCAGGAGCCGTCAGGATCCGAAAAGGTTCTAACGCAGTGAAAGCGCTTGCCAATACTGTCTCGTTAGCTTTCGTGCCAAGGTCCGTACCTCACTTTCTGAGCAGTGTCACCCCCTTTCCCACGGGTCAGGCGGTGACGCGTGTCCCACTGACCATGCTGCTGGCTCTCCGTTGAGGTCCCCTCGTCCCCGCTGATCTGAGGTTCTTTAAGGACGAGGACCGCGCTCTGTACCCGCCGCGGCTCTCACGGCGATCGGGGTGCACGGCAGGAGGACAGGGTGTCGCCGGTCGCCTGACTGAGCCCTGCTTTCCTTGCAGCCCTTCGTCATCCACGACATGGAGACGCTGTGCATGGCCGAGAAGACGCTGGTGGCCAAGCTGGTGGCCAACGGCATCCAGAACAAGGAGGCGGAGGTGCGCATCTTCCACTGCTGCCAGTGCACGTCCGTGGAGACCGTCACGGAGCTCACGGAGTTCGCCAAGGCCATCCCCGGCTTCGCGGGCCTGGACCTCAACGACCAGGTCACGCTGCTCAAGTACGGCGTGTACGAGGCCATCTTCGCCATGCTGGCGTCCGTCATGAACAAGGACGGCATGCTGGTGGCCTGCGGCAGCGGCTTCATCACCCGCGAGTTCCTCAAGAGCCTGCGCAAGCCCTTCTGCGACATCATGGAGCCCAAGTTCGACTTCGCCATGAAGTTCAACGCCCTGGAGCTGGACGACAGCGACATCGCCCTGTTCGTGGCGGCCATCATCTGCTGCGGAGGTGAGTCAGCGGCGCCATCCGCTCCCCTGGCACTCACAGCTCCCCTGGGGGGGCAGGGGGGCAGCGGTAGGTCCGACGGGGTGTGGGGTGGTGCCGTTGTGGAGCGGGCACTGGGGGGAGGGTGAAGGGAGGGGGGTATGGGACCCCATATTGGCACCAACCAGAAGTAAGTGAGTTACACCAACACAGCACCACGTATTATTGTGCGTGAATACGTGCTGTCCATTATGTGTGCTCTGGTTACAGTTATGACATGTAAATACCGGTAGATGTTCTGCTTGTAATTAGCACGTCACATAGCCCTACAGTAGCATGTCAGGTCTGGTTGGCAGTCGTGATGTCATGCAGTGTGTGGTGCGTCACGTGACGACAGGCGTGCGCCGCACCACGTTTCAGTCAAGGAGGACCCGCACCAGGCGGTCCCGCGGGTCACGGTGGGGCTGGAAGCCTCCTGTCTCGGATGAGGCCCGGGACTCAGCACCGCACTCCGCGCGGTGGCCGTGCGGGTGGACACGCCTGCTGGGCGGCCGCCGTGGCGCAGCGCAGGGTGAGGGGCAGCACGCGTGACGTCATAAACGGCTGTACCGGCTCCTCCCGCTCCCCTCACGTCCTGTCAGCGTGAACTCCCTCGACGTTCAGACAGAAACGCCTCTGACGGCAGCCGTGCTGCGTGCAGGCCTCACGCCTTCGGTCGTCTCTATCCGTCGTTTCCTCCTGTGCTTCATTGAACCTCTGGTTGTTGTTTTGTTTTTAATCCTCACCCGAGGATATGTTTCCATTGGTTTTAGGGAGAGTGGGAGAGAGAGGGAAAGACAGAGAGAAACATGGCTGCGAGAGAGACACATCGATTGGTTGCCTCCTGCAGGAGCCCTGACCAGGGCCCGGGCCGGGGAGGAGCTCGCAACCGAGGTGCGTGCCCTTGAACGGAATCAAACCCGGGACCCTTGGGTCCGCAGGCTGACGCTCTGTCCGCTGAGCCACACCAGCCAGGCCCAGTCTGGTCTCTTGTGGTCAGGTCTACAGTGTCTGAAGCCCGATGCTTCAGGGGAGAAAGGCCTGGCAGGAAGGGAGCTGGTGTCTTGGGCGTCGCCATGGTGACCATCAACTCAGCCCTCTCTCTCTCCTTTGGGGACAGATCGCCCGGGCCTCCTGCACGTGGGACAGATCGAGAAGATGCAGGAGGGCATCGTGCACGTGCTCCGGCTGCACCTGCAGGGCAACCACCCCGACGCCGCCTTCCTCTTCCCCAAGCTCCTGCAGAAGATGGCGGACCTGCGGCAGCTGGTCACGGAGCACGCGCAGCTGGTGCAGGTCATCAAGAGGACCGAGGCGGACGCCGCGCTGCACCCGCTGCTGCAGGAGATCTACCGCGACATGTACTGAGGCCCCGAGCGCAGAAGGAGCCACGCAGCTTGCGAAGAGGGGAAGCAAGGCCCGGCCGGCCGTGCCCCTGGCCCGGACCCCATTCCCCACCGGCCGCCCTCCCCCCGGCCTTGCCCCGCCGTAGCCGGGAGCGTGCAGCGGAGGCGGGAGAAGCCTGCCGGGCGTGAGTCCATCAGATGTCCTGACAGCGCCCTCGCGACTCCCACTGGACACCCGACCTCACAGCGACGGGCTGCCTGCCGTCCCGCGAGGACTGCTGGCTCCTTTGTAACTGGGAAAGCTAATCGCACTTTTTAACGTTCGTAATCCTGTGTTTCTAGAGGTAACCAAAGGATAGGGGCTTTACAAGCAGCAACGTATTTATTCGAAGGCTTCGATTCTGGTTCCTGAGTTCAAAGAGACCTGCTCTTTTTTAACCGTAGGATTTAGCGTTCCGGAAGTTACTGATAAGCTATCGGGTGCGGCGGCCCCGTCAGTGCTCGGTTCCCTGTGTGACGGGCGGTCGCTGGACCGCGGAGAA